TACTATATTTAAAAGGAAATTATAACTCATTGTTTTTCTAAGAATTATTTAATTTTATTTATTATTATTATTTTTAAGTTTGCTATAGGATGTATTCACTCACCAGAGAGAGGGGGAGAGATAGAAAGAGAGAGAAAGAGAGAGAGAAAGAGAGAGAGAAAGAGAAAGAGAAAGAGAAAGAGAAAGAGAAAGAGAGAAGAGAGAAAACAACCTGCCAGGTCCAGGACTCAATCCTCAGTTGGCCATGTGGGAGTCCAGTGCCTTAACCACCACATCACCTGCTGAGCTTGACTCATCATTCTTTGTAAGGCCAGATGGTGGAGCAGCAGTAACATGACTGCACCCACTAGAAGGCCTGGGTCTCAGACAGGACCTCACTGAGTATGGGCACGCGCAGCTGTGATCGGGGTTGGCCAAGGCCGAGGCTAGATCATGGCGTCAAGACTGTTGGAGGGATCTGTCTCTCTTTCGCTCTCTCTTTCTCATGGGAGAAGTAAATAAGCATTGTGTTTGTTTGTTTTCATTTTCCAGAGGATATACGTGCCACTTGAGAGAGAAAGAGTGGGGCGGTGAAAAAATGTCCCCTGGAATGGATGGCCTTGTCATAATCTCTTCTCCTCCATTGTCTTCTTGGGATTTGAGGCATGCATATATGTGCTCCTGGCATGTTTTTCAAGCTGGTGGGTCCAGACCCCAACCACACAGTCAGCCTTGTGGGATCCAAGTGCCTTAACCACCAGGCCACCACATGGCCCATAAAGTTTTTAAAAATTGACATGTTCTTATATTGTCTCTTCCTTATATTTTTTCCCATTTTTTCTGTATTCTCTTTCTCTCTCTTTTCCCCATAAGGTTTACGTGCTGGAGAGAGACAGAGAGAAAGACTGTGAGGGTAAGTAAGAAACCAGCCCCCCTCCCCAGAGGGGACGGCTATGCCACAATCCCTTCTCCTCCATTCTCCTCCTGGGATTATGGGCGTGCATGCACTTGTGCCTGACATGATTTTCAAGTCACCGGGACCAGGGCTTGAATCATGGTTGGCCATGTGTGCGTACAGCACCTTAACCACTGTGCCACCCTGCTGACCCCTGCGTATTCTCTTAATGATAAAGAAATGATGCTCACATACTAATGAAGTAAAGCCACATAAAATTATTTACACGGGGACCAGCAGTTGGTGTAATGGCTATGTTACTGGGCTCCCATGTAGTCGAACGCGGGTCGAGTCTCGGACCTGGTGGCTTAAACTTATGCCAGGCGTGCGTGCATGCCCAGGATCCTGAGAGGAGAATGGAGGAACAGGGATTGCAGCGTGGCCATCCCCCCTGGGGCGTGACATCTTGCTTTCTGTCTCTCTGTCTCTCTCTGTCTTTCTGGTGAGTGTGCGTGCCCTATAGCTAAAACCTCTCCAAAATAATTATATGTTCTTTCTTATTACGCAATCAGGACTCAGTCTTGGTATCTCACATAGCTGTCACGCATACATTTTTGATGTCTGATCAGTTAAGCAAAAGAGAAATATGGAGGGAGAGATGAGTAGATGGAGGTGACAACCTTCTGTCATGTGTCCAAGGTTCACTGGGAAGGAAGTAGCATCAGCTTTAACAAGGAGTGGCAACAGGTCAGTGTCCTTGGTACACCATATTGGCACTTGGGGGACTTCTGGTGTCACAACTCACAGACTGTAGAACATGTTGATAGCAAAAGTAACAGCCTGTAGCGTGGGCACTGACCTCCCATTTCTCCAACAGCCATGGCACTCTTGTCATGGGTGTCCCTTTGATGTCTGAGTGGACTTGGTGGGAGGCCCTTGGGTGGCGAGCAGAGGCATGGTGAGACGTGGCTCTGCGTGGTGACCTCCCAGGTCCAGCATGTGTCGCTGACACAGCAGAGCCCTCCGGGGTGAATGGCCTGCCAGCGTGGGAAGTGGTCCTCTGATGGCATAAACTAGTACGAACTGCTCCTACCACCAAGTGCATGCTCAGAGTGTCCTCTCCTCTGGTCCTCATTACCTTCATCGTTTTTACTGATAAATATGACAAGACAGAAATGGTACATCCATTTGCCCAAAATTACAATGTCAGTAAGTGATTGACAACGATTTGTATACAATTGTTCTGGATCACTGAAGTCATGTACATATATATATATTTACCCTAGTTTGTAAAGTAGCACTGGTTGCTGGCTTTTCCTGAGCGAACTCTGTGAGTTTGTCTGTGTTGGTGATATTGCAGCATGAGTGACTTGGATGGTGTGCCACACACCCACACTGGGGATGCACTGATGCAAACACTCCAAGTCGTCTTATTCTAGGACTTGGCTACAGAACCCCATCAGCAAGTCTCCTGAATACCCACAGAGGACGGCGTGGGCACCTTCTGCACAGCTCGAACCCACTCCAGTGCAGAGTCGCAGCTAGACTCCGGAAGCCTGCCCCAGGGTGGAGCTGGCTGGGGCTGAGTGCGGAATCTGACGACGCCAGTGAATAGAGACGTGAATGAGGGAATGTGACATGCACAGCACCATACCTGCCCAACTTGCTTCTGAATTTGGGATTCTAAAAGGAATGTGGGAAGCCAGCCTGCAGTGTAGAATAAAGCCTGTGGAATGTCAGCTGCTGCAAAACCACCCACGCCCTCTGGAGCGGTGGTGCTTTTTTCTGCCCGGGTAAGTCCATTCCTAAACATTTAATTAATACCTCAGTCCCACTGAGGTGCTAGGCAGTCTATTCGCTGAGGTAATAAGAACCGAAGACAAAAACATCTAGTCGCTGTTGGAAAGTGAAATATCGGAACTAAATAAGAATATTAGTACCTATAGTTCAAGCCGGTAGGGTGAAGCTTCTCCAAAAAATACAAGTGTGTGGGGAAGAACCACATGTGGTTTGCAAGGCAATTTTACACTTCTTCCTTGGAAACAGAACGAGTACCATCCAAGCGGCGTGCTCAGCGTCCCGATCTTGCAGGTCGCACTAATCTGTTTAATCAAAGCCCCGTCGCAGTTTGTCTAAGCATGCCGCCTGCCTCTGAGGAGTAAATTGCAAACAAGACTCCATCTAACAGCATGTGGCTCTCAAAGAGAAGGCACTTGTTTCTCCTCCCTGCATAATGAGTTTCAAATCACTTTGTACTTTTGAAAAAAGACTAATGTTCCACACACCTTTGCTTATGAGGCTGTGTTTAAGATTTACCTGGGGATCTGCTAGCCAGGACGGTGTGCTTTTGTTCCTTCATTTGTTTACAAATCTGTTCTAAAATAGTACTTTTCTTTGCACCTCTTTGTAGGACACTTGAGGTTCAGTACAGGGTGTCCCAGAAAGAGTTGAGAAGACAAAGAAGAGTGGGGATACTGAGACACCTGGTTAGTTGTGCCAAGTGCTATGATGCAGAGGGCCGTGGGGGTACTGAGACACCCGGCTAGTTGTGCCAAGTGCTATGATGCAGAGGGCCCTTCAATGCCACTACTCTGGGAACCAGGGCTCTTCACAACACCAGAGCTTGCGTCTCAGAGGTCCGAAATATGTGAGTTCATCAGAACAATCGTCTCCAAACAGCTCCTAACAGAGGAGCCATGTACCCCAAAACAAGGGAACAAAGGCTTGCCGTTGCTTCAGTCTGACGCTGTCTTCTTCCACTCTACCACCTCACATCGCTCCACCACCCCACAGCTCCTCGCCGCCCCCCCAGCTTCTCTTCCAATGCAGCTTAGCCGCTGCCCACAGTGCAGCTGCCAGGCTGGTCCTTGAAATCCCTTCTCTGGACCACCCAAACTTCCTGAATTACAATGGCTAATTCCTAGCCCCAGAATCTATTTATTTAGAGCCACTCAAGACAATGCCCCAATAAAAATTAATCACCAGTCTGTCTAGTGCTAAACCAGTCTGTCTTGATTTCAAACTCTTTGGAATCTCTCTCTCTCACACACACAAACTTTCACACACACACACTCACACACACATTCACACACATACACATATTCACACTCTCACACACACTCTCACACACACATTCACACACATACATTCAACACACATTCTCAAACACATACAGTCACGTACACATACACACACACCTTACATTCACACAAATTCACACACGTACACATACTTACAAATACTCAAACACACACACTCACATACACATACATTCAGACACATACACATTCTCACACACATTCACACATGTATTCACATTCACACACACATTCACATACACACACATTCACACACATGCACACATATTCTCAGTTACACTTTCACACACATGCGCACACATTCTCAAACACAGTTACACTCACACACATTCACATACTCTATCACACACACATTCACACACACACACACACATGCACACATATTCTCAGTTACACTCACACACATTCACATAATCTATCACACACATTCACACACACACACACTTACACATACTCACACACATTCACACACACACACAACACCCACTGAGACACACATTCACACACATGTTCACATTCAGACACATTCATGCACATGTTCACACACATTCACACACATTCACACACATTACACACCAGATTCGCTCACACACACATACACACACATTCACACACACACACTGTCTTCCAATCCTCTCCCACCTGTCCCCATGACTATGTCCATACTGCAACTAAATGAGGTTTTATAGACACAAATTTGTTGTTTACAAAGTTTTACAGATTTGCAGCAATTTAGAGATTGTTCTTATCTAGAGATTTACTTATCTCTAGACATTGTCTGATAAGAGTTAATAGATAAACATAGAAATAACCACCCCTAAATATGTCTTTGGAATACATTTCATCCTGGATAGTATTAACTGATGTGTTTCTCATAGGAAAAATGTAAGTAAGAAGATCTTTCAAAACTGTGGTAGCACAGAGAACCAATGCCATATCTTACGGAATAGCGTGGCAGTTTTAAGCCATGTGCTAGACCTGCATTTATACACAGAGAAAGTAATCATAGTAGGAGAAAGTACACTCACCACTTCTTCATGTCTGCATTTTCTCACATTAATTCCATTTATCTGCAGTGAAAAAGAGAACACCATGTCCGTGATACACTGCAGATTGACTTTATGCTTTGTCTGCACATAGATAATAACGATAAAATGTCTACCTGTAGAATGGCGTCTCCAATAAAGAGCAGTCCCGAAAGTTCCGCTGTAAGTGAAAAAGGACAATTGATTATGCATTGACTATTTCTGCCTTCCAGATGAAAGAGACGCTTATTTAAATAGATATAAAATTGACAAATGAGACAAGTTCAGTGATTTATGTAGTTAGCATCTTAATGATCCAATAGGAATGAAAATTCAAAACAATAATATGACTCAATTCATTTTAATGATCAAAACAGGCTGATGTTGCTATTGGGTCTATTATTTCAGACCTCACAGCTGCTTTCTGGGGGGAAGACCCAATTTTCTCATGCCCACATAATTCTGAGGTCTCTGCGGGAAGAGCCTGAGATGCAGACATAGAACTCATCAGCTGTGGAAGGGTGCCCGGTTGTAACATTACATTATTCTACTGACTCCATACAACGTAAGAGTTGCTCTGTCTTCACTGGTTTTGATAGATGCAATTTCATAGAAAGGGGTTACTGAGCAAAACTGCAAGTGAGGACTGGCAGATCGCCTTGACTGTGGGACTTGTCTTTAGTTTTGTTGGGTGGTTTGGTGAGACAGTGGGAAAGCTCTGTAGTCCCTAACGCACCACCGGGTCACATGGCTTATTCTTCTTCCTCCGTCCCCTGTCCCCTCCGAGGGCAGCCTCCTCTGCAGTGATACGGGGGCTCGGGAATCCATGGAGTCACTTACTGCCCGGTCTTGGGGAACTGGAGTCAGCCAACTCCATTCAGATGTAAATACCATCTAGCTCTCCAAATGCAGAGATTTGCAAAGGGATGGCTGCTGTACAGTTCTCTAAATACAGTACCTCTCTGTTCCTTGGAGATTTTTGAAATAACAACTGGAATGTTATGTTCTGCTCCTCCCTGGAAAGAGAAAGTCATGTATTATACTTTGTAATCTAAAAAGGGCAGATTTTAGCTCAGAAACTGTATGGGCTCTGACTAGCATGTTAATATCAGACATAACTCAAATAGGTTTGTGGAATTCCTCCACTAAGGGGCCGTGAAACCTATCTACCTGTTCAGGATGTTGCTGAGACAGCCAATAATGACCCTTTTCATCCCTCCCGAAAAGTTATGTCTGCACAGGCATTGTTTTCAATGTCGCAATGCTATCCTTCGTGGGGTGCCGAACACGGATACAGACAAGCTGATGGGTCTCCGTGGTGCAGGGACGCCTCTGGGTGCTAAGTCAGCAGAGAGGCCTTTGCCTACGCAAGTGGATAAACAAGATCTGAGTGTGCCGTGCCGGTGCACAAGGGTCTCTTCCGCATTTCTCTAATTACTATCAGGTTTCTCCATGTACAAACACATGCTAAATAATTAACAGAATGAAATTCACTGTCAAGAGTATTACAATAGTGCTTTATTATTTGATCAAATGCTATATGAGAAAAGAAAGACTAGGGAGCCATAGGAGGCAGAAGGGTTAAGGCTTTGGACTCTCACATAGCCAAACACAGTTCAAGTCCTGAACCTGATGGTTTGAAAGTTATACCTGGCACACATGCGTGCATGCCCCATCCCAGGAGGAGAATGAAGAAGGGACTGTGGCATGGTCATTCCCCCTGGGGGAGACCTCCCACCTTCCCTCCCACTGTCTCTGTCTCACTACAGTGAGCACATGTGCCCTACAGCAAAACCTAAAAAAATTAATAATAATAAAAAAAGAAAGAAAAAGTAAGCTAAACTGATGTGAAAGAAAATACAAAGAGATTTTAAAAGTTTGTGGATATTAAAGTATAAGTTTATTTTGATGCAACATAGTTTGAAATCCTTGGGCTAGTCAGTTGGCATATTGGTTAAGGTCATTGGGTCCCAAATCGCTGACCGTATGGCTCAAATCCCCCACCCAGCAGCTTGAAAAATACGCTGGGTGAGTGTTAGTGTGTGACCAAAATCTCAAGAGAAGAATGGACAAAACAATTGCAGTGTGGGACCAGCAGTTAGCGTAATGGCTATGTCACTGGACTCCCATGTAGTCGACCGTGGTTCGAGTCCCGGACCTGGTGGCTTAAACTCACGCCGGGCACATGTGCATGTGTGCCCAAGATCCCGAGAGGAGAATGGAGGAGAAGGGATTGCGGTGTGACCATCCCCTGTGGGGGGTGATTTCTCACTTTCTGTCTCTCTGTCTCTGTCTGTCTGGCGAGCACACATGCCCTATAGCAAAAACCTCTCCAAAAAATACGTGAATAAATAAAATGAAACTGCAGTGTGACTCCCCTGGGGGGGGACTTGCTTTCTCACTTCCTCACCTCCTTCCCCAGTCTGACTCTGGAGGAAAAATAATTGAAATCTATGCATAGATTTTCTAAAATATTTTTTGGAAGCCCTTCATAAAACAAGTCCTTAAAAAAACTGCATAAAAATCCCTTCTTTATTTCAGATTTGAGAACGTTGAAAGTAGGAGTTGGAAAATCAAATAAGCACATTAAAGAATAAAATGCCACGAAGAAAAAAAAAAGCACAGCACTTTTAACACAGTCTAGTTGAAAAGTATATAAATCCCACTGGGACTATTCTATCTTCAGAAGATGTAAACTTCCTATAAGACTTTTTATTTTTTTATTTTTCAAGGACAAAAAAATATTTTAGAAAAGATGGTTTTCCCCATGAATGTCTATTTTTAACACCAAGTTGTCAGTATATTTAAACATAAGATAGTCCATAGTTTTTGAGAAAAGCAGTGGTATTTAACTTTTTCTTGAAAAGAGAAGCCTTATACTTCTGGAATATTAACAAGGAGCCTGATAGGGACTAGCAAGTGGAGTAATGGCTATGTTGCTGGACTCCTAAGTAGTTGACCGTGATTCTGGTCCCTGACCCGGTAGCTTAAAACTCATGTCAGGCATGTGTGCGTGTGTGTCCAAAATCCTGAAAGGAGAATGGAAGAGAAGTAATTGTGGCATGGGGTGATTTTTTTTGCTTTCTGTCTGTCTCTCTAGAGAGTTCACATGCCCTATGCAAACAAACAAACAAACAACAAAAAAAAAACCTCTCTCTCAAGAGAAAGAAAGAACATGATAAATAGGTCACAGGAAACTATCCCACTCAGGCGTGAATTCCAACCCACTGCTCTGTTCTCTTTGCTCAGTATTTCCCCAACACCCACCACCCCACCACTCACTAACTGAAGAATGTCCTGACAGTTCCTCCACGGGCACCTAATTCTGGCTCAGCCGTTCTGCGTGTTCCTAACAGGGGTTGGTCTTGTCTCACACGGTCTCTTGCTGATCCAAAGAGCAGTGGTTCTGGACTGACCACGTGATGGAAATGAGATGCCTAGCACACAGTAAGCACTGAATGGAAGGGAGCTATTATCCTAATGCAGCGTATCTATTAAGATTTAGGAGTAAAATTACACAGCACTAAAGTGATAAGTAAGATTAAGACTAATCCCTTTTAAAATCCTTAGTATGTATTAATTAGGACCCCGATTGTCCAACTCCCACACTGTGCTCTGTTCTTCTCCCATTATCCTCATCAGCCCCTGACTTGTTGCAGGGTTTATTCACTCCTTCAATTTACTGTTTATTTTCTTTCTTCTTTCCCAATTCATAGCTAGAATGCAAGTGCTACGAGGGCACTGAAGTTTCTGATTGATTGCTTTTTGTGTGGATGTCACCCAGTGCATGGAATGATGTCTTTTGTAATATTCGAAATGCTCATTGAATGAATTAGTGAATGAATGAATGAAGTCTCTGGCTCTCCAGGCTTAGCCTGCGGTGGCTGATATTTTGCAGAGAGACTTGGAAATTGACCAGAATGCTGGGACTGCATCTGCATTTCAAAGACGAAAAAGCTGATTCACTCAAACAAATCATCAGCTGACGAAGTTCTAGGTAATATGAAGAGATGAACTAGGGGCCAGCAGGCAGCATGCTGATTAAGGCACTGAATTTCCACATGGCCAACTACAGTTCGAGTCTTTGACGTGGCAGCTTGAAAAGCACGCCAGACATAGGACCAGCAGCTGGTGTAATGGCTATGTCGCTGGACTGCCATGTAATCAACCGCAGTTCAAGTCTCAGACCCAGTGGCTTAAACTCATGCCAGCAGGCGCGTGTGCATGCATGCCCAAGAGGAGAATGGCGGAGAAGGGATTGCGGTGTAACCATTCCCACTGGGGGGTGATTTCTCACTTTCTGTCTCGCTGTCTCTCTCTGTCTTCCTGGTGAACACATGTACCCTTATAGCAAAAAAATCCTCTCCAAAAAAAAAAAAAAAAAAAAGAAAGAAAGAAAGAAAAAGAAAATCATGCCAGGCATATTTGTGTACATGCCCAAAACAAAAAAATATTTTAGAAAAGATGGTTTTCCCCATGAATGTCTATTTTTAACACCAAGTTGTCAGTATATTTAAACATAAGATAGTCCATAGTTTTTGAGAAAAGCAGTGGTATTTAACTTTTTCTTGAAAAGAGAAGCCTTATACTTCTGGAATATTAACAAGGAGCCTGATAGGGACTAGCAAGTGGAGTAATGGCTATGTTGCTGGACTCCTAAGTAGTTGACCGTGATTCTGGTCCCTGACCCGGTAGCTTAAAACTCATGTCAGGCATGTGTGCGTGTGTGTCCAAAATCCTGAAAGGAGAATGGAAGAGAAGTAATTGTGGCATGGGGTGATTTTTTTTGCTTTCTGTCTGTCTCTCTAGAGAGTTCACATGCCCTATGCAAACAAACAAACAAACAACAAAAAAAAAAACCTCTCTCTCAAGAGAAAGAAAGAACATGATAAATAGGTCACAGGAAACTATCCCACTCAGGCGTGAATTCCAACCCACTGCTCTGTTCTCTTTGCTCAGTATTTCCCCAACACCCACCACCCCACCACTCACTAACTGAAGAATGTCCTGACAGTTCCTCCACGGGCACCTAATTCTGGCTCAGCCGTTCTGCGTGTTCCTAACAGGGGTTGGTCTTGTCTCACACGGTCTCTTGCTGATCCAAAGAGCAGTGGTTCTGGACTGACCACGTGATGGAAATGAGATGCCTAGCACACAGTAAGCACTGAATGGAAGGGAGCTATTATCCTAATGCAGCGTATCTATTAAGATTTAGGAGTAAAATTACACAGCACTAAAGTGATAAGTAAGATTAAGACTAATCCCTTTTAAAATCCTTAGTATGTATTAATTAGGACCCCGATTGTCCAACTCCCACACTGTGCTCTGTTCTTCTCCCATTATCCTCATCAGCCCCTGACTTGTTGCAGGGTTTATTCACTCCTTCAATTTACTGTTTATTTTCTTTCTTCTTTCCCAATTCATAGCTAGAATGCAAGTGCTACGAGGGCACTGAAGTTTCTGATTGATTGCTTTTTGTGTGGATGTCACCCAGTGCATGGAATGATGTCTTTTGTAATATTCGAAATGCTCATTGAATGAATTAGTGAATGAATGAATGAAGTCTCTGGCTCTCCAGGCTTAGCCTGCGGTGGCTGATATTTTGCAGAGAGACTTGGAAATTGACCAGAATGCTGGGACTGCATCTGCATTTCAAAGACGAAAAAGCTGATTCACTCAAACAAATCATCAGCTGACGAAGTTCTAGGTAATATGAAGAGATGAACTAGGGGCCAGCAGGCAGCATGCTGATTAAGGCACTGAATTTCCACATGGCCAACTACAGTTCGAGTCTTTGACGTGGCAGCTTGAAAAGCACGCCAGACATAGGACCAGCAGCTGGTGTAATGGCTATGTCGCTGGACTGCCATGTAATCAACCGCAGTTCAAGTCTCAGACCCAGTGGCTTAAACTCATGCCAGCAGGCGCGTGTGCATGCATGCCCAAGAGGAGAATGGCGGAGAAGGGATTGCGGTGTAACCATTCCCACTGGGGGGTGATTTCTCACTTTCTGTCT